ACAAAAAAAATTCTCTTAAATAAATCTTTATTTGTTTTACAAAAATTAATTTTACAATTTTTACACATAGTGTGTGTAATTCAAGACTGTTTTTTCTTAAAACTGTAAACAACATAACTAACTCTACGAGAGCTTATTTTAAAATTCACATAAAAAATATAACTGATGTATCATCATTTTAACATAAATTGTGTAAACTTGTGTTATTAAAACACATAGTTAACTACTCGCGGTAGCTTCTAATTCGTACCTAACCTCGTTAGATAGCACCATCATCAACATTACCTCAGAACAAGAGAAATAATTACATCTAAATCAAATAATAAACATTGTACCAAACATAAGATTTGTAAATTGTGTGTCACACACCTAAATATAACACTTAAACTAGTTAAATCGATTGAAACCACCGCCTCCTTAATCAAATGTATCAATATCCCGCCTGGGCATTTCGTAAAAAATGCATTGGAGCAGTGATTCCAATTTTTTCTTAGTTACGGGGGTTACTAAGGAAAAACTGAATGATTTTTAATTATTAACGAAAAATAACGCAATTAATAAATGCTGAGAAGGAAGGATACAACAAAACTAGATACGCCAGGGAGAATTGATATTATGAGATTGAACCCTTTACGCTAAAAAAACTGGATTTGTCAAAAATTTTCCCCAGATTAAAGCGCCAACGGGAATCACTTGAACTCAAAAAATGCCCAGGCGAGAAAAGGATTATTTCTATGGAGACGGCGATGATTGAAACAAACAAAATAAGATTAGTATCAATTGTTTTTGAGATTTTTAAGCGTGTTTGTTCAAGATTTTGCAAAATAAATGATCCTCCGGTCCAAAAACGAAGTAATTCGAGCAAAAAACAAGCTAAAAATAATATTAATTTTGATTTAATTTTGTCCGCTTTCTTTGTTTTATCTCAAAAACGTGCTTAAACCCTTAAAAAGGGCAAAATAACGCCATTTTTGTTCGCATTTGTTGTTTTTAACGATATTTTGATAAATAATTGTTTCTCGAAAAAGATAAAAATAGTCATTTTTGATACTGTCTTGTAAAATATTGTAAAAAAACAATCAGAACTATTTTTACGCAATTTTTCGACTTTTTTTTTTTTTTCATTTCCAACAGTAAGATATTTTCAGAACTGGCTGGTATTCTCTTCAAGATCCGTAAATTTTTTCCTAAGACTTTTTTTATTGTTTGTTAAAAGCTTAAAATTTTATTTTTTAGTTTCCTAATTGTCTTTTGTCATTCGATAATTCAAAAAGTCTTTTTTTATTTATATTTTTTTTAAGTTAGGCATTTTTTCAAATGTGAATGTCATTTTTTTGATTAAAAAATACGTTTTTGCAAATCTGAAAAGATAGGAAAGAATGTGAGATAGCTAATTTGTCATTTTAACATTTACAAAAAAAATTCTCTTAAATAAATCTTTATTTGTTTTACAAAAATTAATT